CTGCCAGAAAGAGATCCTTTACTTAAAGATTTTAAAACCTCGTTTCCAGATTACAAGCAGATGTGTGTTTCTGCATGTGGGTATATCTGTGTGAGTGCACATGCCCTTTGAGGCCAGAGGTCTGTGAGTACTGGAGTTAGTCATAGACAGTTGTGAGCTGCCTGGCATGAGCACTGGAAATGGAACTCAGATCTTCTCAAGACTAGTGTGAGCTCTTAACCCATGAGCCATGGCTCCAGCCCACTTAAAATTTTCTTAATCCAAAATATATCCACGTTATTTACTTTCTGGGTCAGGGTTTCCCTATGTAGTCAAGGATTACCTTGAACTAATAATCCTCCTGCCTTAGCTTCTTGAGTCTCAACATCACAAGCATATGACACTATATTCAGCTTTCACTATCATTCATTCATTATTTTGTGGTACTGGGGATTGAACCTAGGTCCTCACATGCTAAGCAATCATTTTCATTTTTTTTTTTTTTTTTTTTGGTTTTTTCGAGACAGGGTTTCTCTGTGTAGCTTTGCGCCTTTCCTGGTACTCGCTTTTGAGACCAGGCTGGCCTCGAACTCACAGAGATCCGCCTGGCTCTGCCTCCCGAGTGCTGGGATTAAAGGCGTGCGCCACCACCGCCCGGCTCATTTTTCATTTTTAATAGGGTTGTTTGCATGTTTTGTATATTAAATTAATTAATTTTTTGCAGTGCTGAGCATAGAACTGAAAGCCTTGTACATGTTAGACAAGCACTCTTCCACTGAGCTAGCCCAGCATCTACAATGCTGGAAGACCAGGCTGCTCCCTTCCAGGGTATTACATGTCTGCCTTTGGTTTTCACTATGCTTACTGTTTGTGCTAGTTTCTCATTTTTTACCAGTATGAAGCACATGGTCCTGCCTGGGTCATCAGCAAAATAAGCCAACCGAGAATTGTCGAGAACTGACAGACAGAATTGCAAAATGGTCATTGGCTTTGCAAGACAAATCAATGAGTTCACATTTTTACAGACTTACAATCAAACCACATAACCTGCTTGGGGAGCTCTGTGATACTTTTTCTGGAAATGGATCTCCAGGCAATCAGACAAGCATAGCCAGATGCTCACTGGGCCTAAGAGCTCTCTGCAAGGGAACTAGAGAAAACAGCAGATGGGGGAACTGTTGAAACAAGGGGGGTCCTCTGCAAGGTCTTTCAAGATATTCACAGAGGGCTAGGGTTATAGCTCAGTGGCAGACTACTTGCCTCTATTGTGCAAGGCCCTGGGTTCAATCCCCAGCATTGCAAAAACAAACAGTCCAACCCCACAGTCATACTCATATCCATCAGTAAATGAAAGAATAAAAGGAGGGAACTGGGCTGGATGTCAAACATAGATCAAGACTTGAGGGCAGTGTGACACATGAGCTTCCCTGGACCTTTACTGAGTTGCAGCAAGCTTGTTCTGGGAAACAAGTGAGGCTTGGGGGGGGGGGGGGGGCGGGGAGGCTGAAGTTGGAATATACCAGGTGTGCCAACACAAGAGCAGTAGACAGAGGGAGCTGATGCCAGAAGATGCCCGACTTGGAGCGTCACCCAGGGCTCTGCATGGCGTTCCGAGTGGGAGGGGAGACCACAGTCTGACTTTCGCTTTGAGAGGCTGACATTACACACTGAGAGGAAACTGCAGGCCCCGAGGGAGAAGCAAACGTCCCGCCCGACAAGAGGTGAAAGACAACAGCAGCATAACCCGAGGTGCTGGAGGAGGGGGTGCAGGGAGATAGGTGGTCCACTGACACCTGACAGGAAGAGCTGAGGAGCACTGACCAATGAAACTGGAGAGGGAGAGAAAGAGGAGGAGGTCAAGATGAGCCCAAAGCAAGATGGCACTGTGAACAACTGAGGCAAGAAGGCTACAGGCTGGTTCTATGGGAAGGTGGATCCAGGTGCTCTTCAGAACAAGAGAAGCATCCTGAGATGCTGCTGGGAACACAGGCTTAGAGTTCAGAAGAATCTCATGGCTGGGGACAAGGGTGTCCCCACACAAAAAGGGGTGGCCATTAGCTGTCTGGTGGGCAGATGCAGACTCCACATGGCTAGATCCTCTCAGACTCAAAAGGAATAGGAAGTTAGGTTTCTACAATGAAATATTCTGACTTTAAAATGTTGGTAGCTAACACAAAATTTTCTTGCTAACACTACCAGTTGTCCTTTTAGGACACAGTAGATACTGCTATGGCTGGAGGTCACACGGTGGCTGGCTTCTGGCTTTACCAGGGGCTGCCTATGACGTTAGTAGGGCAGGGTGAGAGCAGAGGAATGCAGGTCCACTTCTAACTCCAAAGAGCAGCCAGCACCCCGGAGTCTTGAGATTTACAAAATGGTGGCTACTCAGTCAACTAGGAAGAAAACTGTAAGTCCTTATCTGCTGGAGAGGGCTGGGAAAACCGTGACAATTAATGTATGCTGGGTGCAGGCACATTGTATAAGGAAAGACTTGGACAGATGACACAAACTCAGAACAGTGAGGCTGAGGCCTAGAGGTTGGTGAGCCAGAATGCTATTCCCTAAAAGTCTCTTTCCTTCTCTGTTCTCTCCTTCCTTTACTCAGCAGACGTGGCCTACGCTGCAAACAGCTCACCACCTCTGCTCCATGCCAGCCTCCTATTCAGGACAACAAAGGGAGGCTTCAGTTAGGGCAAAAGCAGCGTACTTCTTCCCAGGGTGTGACCATCTTTCTGTCCTGGGTGGAAGCCACCTTTAGTATGATCCCTGCTGTGCAGGACCAAAGACCTGGGACTGGTCAGCCGAGTTCGCTAAGACTGTGTCTCTTATCAGAGCAACAAGGTCAATAAATACTTGTTATGTCACGATTCCTGCTGGGTAGAGTCGGCATTTCTTTAAGTCTACCAGACCTTATCATGGAGATAAAAGTGCACCAATCCCAAACCTCTCTCCTAGCATCAGCTGAGGTTGCCATGAAGACAGAAACATGCCAGACTTTCAACACTCAGCTACCACCCAACCACTCCAGGGTCAGCTTTATAGAAATCTTTTGTATACTTTGAAGTATGATGATCTTCAATATTACAATCACCAAAATAATTAAACAAACAACAACAACAAAAGCCAGCCAACAACATGGTAGCACCAGGTTTTAAAATCCCTATTGCTCCGAGTTTTCTGAATGTCATTTTCTTTAGCAAAAGATGTAATTTGCAGTCAGGATGAGAAAAGCCAACCAGCCATTACTTTCTTAATGGCCAACTACCCAAAAAGGCTCAGTTAAGTGATCTCAACTAGCAACTAATCAATTAAAATTGATAAGTGAAATACTTTTAACCTTTATTTCAGCAGGGCCCTTCCTAGGGGAAGGAGCGAAGGAATGTGAATTCCCAGCATAAAATTTAATTCCATTTCACGGATACAACATTGAAAGGAGCCGTCTCCTTCTCTGCATGGATCAAATCAGAGAAAGACTGGTCCTCAATCAATTCTAGCCTTATAGAAATCACCGTGGCTATTTTTCAGGGTGCAGGGTCAAAGGAGACAGGCAAAGAGGGTCATAATTTCTTTCTTTCTCTAACACACGGAGAGATGAAAGCAGGACACTTGTACTCATTACCCCCATCCCATCTCCTGCACATACACATTAATTTAAAACAGTAAAAATAGATTTTTTTTTTTCAAGACAGGGTTTCTCTGTTTAACAGCCCTGGCTGATTTGTAGAGCAGGCTGGCCTTGAACTCACAGAGATCCTCTTGCCTCGGCCTCTCAAGTGCTGGGAAAAATAGATCTTTTAAAAAGAGACTAATGCACCAGAACGCTCTGACTCAGAGAACTGTGTCCTTCAGTGTGTATGTGCCCCACGGCCAATGGAGGAAAGAGAAAGCCACAGAGGTTTGAGAACGGTTCCAAGAACACCACCATCTCTTTTAAATCTCGATGACAGAATGGCCAGGGAGAAGCATGCTTGTGATCCCAGCACTCTGGACATGAGGCAAGGAGACCTCAAGTTCAAGGTCAGCCTGGCCTATTTTGAGATACTCTGTTTCAAAGATAAAATTTTTATTTTATTTTACCTTATGTTGCAGAGGGAAATTTGAAGCAACGAATGATGGTGTCCTGGTTATTTGTTTTTTTTTTCCCCTTTTACTTTTTTTAAAAATCAACTTGACACAGGCTAAAATCTTTTAAGAGGGGACCCTCAACTGACAAAATTTCCTCACAAGATGGGCCTGTGGGCGTGGCTGCCAGGGAGTCAACGATTCATGCTGAATGTGGAGGGCCACGCCCACTGCAGTGGTGCTGTGGCAGTGGAGGGCCACGCCCACTGCAGTGGTGCTGTGGCAGGTGGAGGGCCACGCCCACTGCAGTGGTGCTGTGGCAGGTGGCTGTGTAAGAAAGCAGACTGAGTGAGTCATGAGGAACAAACCAGCCAGTGAGCACACTCCTCCATGCCTTCTGCTTCAGTTCCTGCCTCCAGGTTCCTGCTCTGAGTTCCTGTCCTGACTTCCTTTGATGGTAGACTGTGATGTGGAAGCTAAACAAACCCAAGTTGGTGTTGGTCACGATGTTTTATCATAGCAAAAGAAGCCCTCACTAAGACAATGGTCAATACAGTTCAAGGCTATAGGCTGAGCACATGTCTTTCTGATTTGCAAAGCCCTCATTCTTACCTAAACACTGGTGACTTGTTTTGGGGGTTGTTGTGTCTTTTCATTTTGATAGTTTGTTTTTTATGGGCTTTCTTTTGGCATCAAGAGACCCCTTTTTCCACTGGACTCAGACAGAAAACTTTTAATCCACAATACCAGAAAGGCCAGTGCTATTCTCATCCTGTCAATGAGGGCCCCACTCTCACTGGACCTCCTACTGTCCAGCACTGACCTTTCAGCATGGTCCTGGGTCAACGGCAGTTCAGACTGCATGCTGTGCACACTCCCCACCTCCGCAACAGGTGACTCAATAGAGCAGTGTCCTGGGTCCCCTAGCCCACTGGTACAAGCCAAGATGGCCAACTCACTCAAATCCAAGACATCATCTGTTTTGATCAGGTCCTCCTCCCGAGTCAGTGGCAACTGGGTCTCAGGTTCCCCACGCAGCTGCAGTGACAGGGACCGCAGCATGAAGAATACTCGGATGGCCTAGATAGAGCAGAGAGCAGAGGAGAGTGGAGTTTCAGGGGTGTTTTGGAGAGGTGCCCTGCATGAAGGCATTTCATGATGACTCTTGGTTAATAGAAAGGAAGAAGGGGACAAAACACAGGCCAGCATTGAAGTACAGTGGCCTACAGCTGTCACAGTAAGAGATACTTCAGGCTGGGGGAGTAGCCTGCTTCAGTTCATAACAGGTGTAGGCCAGGGTCACTTCACTGGGCACCTGTCATTTGCCAGGACCTGTCCCCAAGGGTCATGTGACACATCTTTAACACACATCTCCTGCCTGCTAGCTTGTCTATTCCACAGCCAGCAAATAGCTAAGACTCAGGGAGGTGAGGAGAGCTGCCTGAGACAGCACTTCTAGGAAGGGCTCCAACCTGCTCCTCCATGAGCCAGCCCAGGGGCTGGGAGACAGAAATCACCAGCATGTGTGCCAGGGCCTATCTAGTAAATGTGGGCACAAGATAAGAGAGTAACATGCATGGAACTTTTTGATCTGGCTAGACTCACTGAAAGTCCAACTCCATCTTAAGTCTTCCACCTCTTGGGCCTGGGCCTTAGGAGGAGGAGTATGATAGAGACAGGTGAGGCCTGATACCTGGCCAAATGGACAGCAATGTCCTTGGGGCCCCTCAGGCTTTCCCAGCTCATCTCAGGGCAGAGACAGTTTGTTAGCACAAGCATCCCTGGCCCATGGAAAAGGGATCTGTCAGCATCCAGTACGGCCAGGCATGTCCTGAGAGCAGAGAAAAGGCCATGTCACCAGCTGCCAGTGACATCTGTGCAGAAGCAGACCTCAGCCCAAGAATCAAGCTTGCCAGCCACCAACCAGAGAGCCCAGAAGCACAGGGCAAGCCACAGGTCAAGGTACCCCCCGCTCCAGGTCTCTCCCTGACATGGAATGGTGGACTCCACTGGGACAGCTCCAAAGGCACACAGACAAGGTCAGCATTGCCCTCTACCCCCACTGTGGTGGATAAGACACAGTAATCCCTAACTCTCTGGCTATGGTACAGCCCTGAGACAAGGTTGGAGGGCACAGCCAGCACAGGCCTGCAGAAAGAGGTTGCCCCCGGCCCCTTGATAAATACCACTACCTACATAAAGGAGGATCAGGGCAAAGCACTGTGGCTTCACACAGATGAATTCTTGTTTGTGGTAAAGATGGTGACAGTCCAGCCTTAAATGAAGGGAAGACACCTTTTATTCAGGGGGAACTTTCAAGAAAGGAGAGAGGACAAATTCTTGCCTTCAAGGGGCTGGAGGGACACTGCATCCTGGTGGGCCCAGGCAATAAGTATCTTTGAGTAGCTACTAAAGCCCTGATCCGGCCTTGGAGCAGGCTCCTCGTGTAGAAACTTCAAGAGTACTCCACAGCCCTGGCCTCATCTGAAGGAACACAGCCTTCTGAGTAGAGCGGAGTACAGGACAAAGGCAGCTTTCCCACTGTGATGGTGGAGGCAGCATGAGGGACCTGACCTGAATGTCCTTAGCAGATTTTAAAGTCTAGTCTTCATAGAGACAGCCGCACCAACTGGAAGAAACAGAGGTGTGATTCTACTAAAAATCTAGAGCTTCTGTCTAGTAATCACCTACTATGTGCTGGGGTTTAAGGGTTCTGTATTATAAATTTAAGACTATAGAAGCAAGAGTGGCTGCTGAGAAGGGCGGAGTGAGCTTGGCCCACACAGCTGCTAGGAGGGTGAGCTGCGCCTCTGTAAGGTCAGGCACACATGACATAGCCTAGTACACCAGGAAATCCAATCCCTGTGCCAGGCAAGAGCAGACAGCACTAAGATGGGAAGTGGGGAGGGGTGTCACTGGGATTATCTGATAGCATGAGGTCTCAAGTAAGCGGTTACAATTTAGGGATGAGGAGAAAGAAAAGGGTCTCCTGCAGCCATGTCCCATCACGGACAAGATTTATGACTATGCTGAGTATATTCCTTTCAGTGCTGATAGCAAGACTCCCAGCAGGGCCATGGCTAAGTTGGGAAAATAGAAACACATGCTGCTTTCTGTAGCCTATCCCTTGGAAGACTGAGTCTTCCCAAGGAATCCAGGAGCTGGGAATTTGGTTCTTAATGTAGGCCTTTTGATAAAACATTTACTTTTGCTCTACAAATATTGAATGGAAGATATTCCCCAGGAATACAAATAAAAAATAGTCATTTAAAATATAAAATAGAATATATACCATATAAAATACCATTTCAAACAGCAACTTTCAAGAGAAAAGTCACATATAAATGTAGCCCATGTCCAAGAACAGAAAGAGGTGAGTCCTACAGGGCAGGGTGTTCCTCATTGCAAAAGTGGGCTCCTTAGGTCGCTGGAAGGGCTGACAGGCATGCTATCCTGCGCCATGGCTACTTCACGCCACCACCCTGGAGACATTAGTAGCTCCCTCTTACCACTCACAGCCATTGAGCACTGTGTGGGGCCATAGGCATGATCTCATTCGGGATTTTTTTTTTTTTTGAGACAAGGTGTCTCTGTGTAACCCTGGCTGTCTTGGAACTCACTCTGTAGACCAGGCTGGCCTTGAACTCAGAGATCCGTCTGCCTCTGTCTCCTGAGTATTGGGATAAAAGGTATGCACTACCAAGCCCAGCCTATCATTTGAGCCTCTTAATGACCCTATGTGGTTCCAATCTGACAGAGAAACTAGAGCCCAGGGCTGTTAGGCTGGCTGCCCAGGGCAGCTCCAAAGCCTGTGTTCTTCTGACCACATTCCTTAGCCTTCAAAAAGATTCAGGGCTTGGGCCCCAGATTTTTATCTTCTTTTCTTGGCTAAATCAAGATACACAATTTTAAAGCCATAACCAAAAGGAACAAGAAATGATTATTGTTTCAGATCCTGGAAGGCAGAAGATCAAATTTCAAAAGGGAAGGCAGTTGACTGAGCTCTAATGTGAAGAAGAAACTTCCATTTCTTAGCTCCCATGAGTCTGGAAGCTAACCTTAGTCATTTTCAGTATCTGGAGAACCAGGCCATTCAAAGGCTTTGGAGGGGAAGGTCTGGGGTCAGAAGGATCTCATCTCTAACTGGGGCTGAAAGAACATAGGAATTCCCCGAGGCTAGGGCTCTGGGGAGGGGTACACGGTGAGTCCCCAGTGAGGGTGCACCATGGTACAAGTGGTAGTCTGAGCCTTGGGCTGGTCCTGGGACAGGTACTCAGTTCACCTCTGCCGGCTCCCTTGGCACATTTGCAAGCTGCTGGGGTTAGGTGACAGTCATTCAGGTTAGAAGCCCACCAGGGTGGCAGAAACAGCTATGAAAGTCAGTCATCCTGAAAACAGGATTGAAGCAGTTTGATGTGGGCCCAGCCTAGAGGGAAAGCTAGGTGGTGATGCTAGAGATGTACAAAAAATATCCATACCCTTTGAACCAGAAATTCTGCTTCTGGGAACTTCTCCTAAAGAAATAATTCAAAAGAAAGAAAACATTGTGTTCATGAAGTAGCTCTTACAGTTTAGCTGAAAAAGAGTGAAATATAGTGGAAGCACCCCAAACTCTGACTAATGGGAAAACACCTATGGGAACTATGGCAGAAGTCTATGGGAAATCTTTATGCAATCCGAAGAAGTCACTTAAAAACTGTCGGACAGGTGTGGTGGCACATGCCCTGCCCTTGGGCTGTAGAGGAAGGAGAATCAGGAGTTCAAGGTTATCCTTGGCTAGAAAGTGAGCTCAAGGCCAGCCTGAGCTACAAGAGACCGTGTTTACAAATTAAAGAAAGAAAGAAAAAAAAAGTCTCCTTTGTGAGCTGGGGGTGACGTCACTGGTGGTATGCAAGAGGCTCTGGGAAGCATAGCCAGAGCTTCAAAAACACTATCACAGCCCACTCCCGATACCTCTGCAGCTCGCCTGTGCCCCGGAAGCTGCCCCTGCTCAGGGGTCAGGAAGGGCAGCAAGATGGCTTCTGCCAGCAGGGTCATGCAGGCAGTGAAGCCATACACTCCATTAATAAGGTTCCCTGACAGAAGAGACAATCCTTAGTGCCTCTGAAGCTACGGGATCTGGTGGACTACCCTCCCACTCATCTATAATTTCACAGTCTTCTAAAGGAAATACACCCCCAGATTTGCTGATGCATCCGAGGCCACCAGACACTGCAGTGATAATAAAAACATTACCTCAGAAATACAGAAGGAAAACTATGTCTCAAGAAGAAATGGAATTTCTCCAGCGTGGAGGCCCAGAATGATCACTGTGGTTGCTGTCTGCCACCAGACAAAAGGATTATCTTCACAATACAGGACTTCCAATGCGTCAAATAAAACTGTCTATTAAACAGCCTTAACAGAACAACGGCAACAACAAGCCCACTATCACAACGGGGACTGACCCACGAGAGGAGAGGCGAGCAAGGACACCTGCACCATCAAAAGAGGAGGAGTCTGGAGGCAGAGACGGCAGGGGGGGGGGGGGAGCCTCTCAAGTGTTGAAATCAGAGAGACCATTCTCCTTCCTTTCAAAACGCTGGGATTGGCTGAGTTTTCTTTAAAGCGTAACACATAGCCAAAGAATGGAGCAAAGTATACCACTTCCTGGAAGTCAATAGTGACAAACACAAAAACTGCTGTCCTCTACAGGGAACGTGGAAACAGAAGTGAGGACACATCTATAATCCCAGATATCTGGGAAGCTGAGGTAGGAGGATCACAAATTTGAAGCCAGACTGGACTTCCCAATGAGACACTGTCTCGAAACCAAATTTAGAAAAGGCAGAACACTTGCTGAGCATGTCCACACCCTGGTTCCATCCCTAGTACCAAAAACAAAACCCCAGCACAAGGACCTCTGTTTTGCACTGGCTTCCCAGACAGCCTATGAAGGTGGCTGGTGCTTCAATTCAGATTTTAGTATTTGCCAGAGCCCGCTGCTGGGTCTTTTCCTCTTCACTAAGTTTAGCAGTCTGTGAGTAAACTCCTCTTGCTCATCTAAGACACCGGCATACTCCACCACTGTCCCCCCATGTCCTTTTGGTGTTTATTGTCTGCCAGGAACTCCACAGCCATACTGTCAGCTACTTCAGGTAGAAGCTGAGGAGGGCACAGGTGGAACTTCAGGCTCAGGGAGGCTGAGTAATGCTCCTAAGGTCACACAGAATAGGGCTTAACGTCTGTGGGCCTGACTCATGTATTCTTTCTTAGGCACTTCTTCCAACTGCCCCTACAGGAGTGGGGATAGCCCAAATCCCAAGTTCCAGTTCACTCATTCTCCCTGGACCCCAAGAACTCTGATGACTTTTGTTTCAACATGGCTGGCATGACTCAGGGGCACTTTTGGTATTTTTGGGTCTTACACTTAAAAAAAAAAAAAGTATTTGTATTGTGTGCACATGTGGAGGTCGGAGGACAACTTGCAGGCATCTGTGGTTTGCTCAGGGGACTGGGAATGTGTGCTACTTGAAGATACAAGGTCCCCACTTCCTCTGCTGCCCCTGAGCTCGTGGTTAAAAGTGCCAGCAAGATGAAGGAGGCTTCTTGTCTGAGGCACACACCACTTTATGTGCTTTCTGAAATCCTGAAGTGAAACCCCTCTGCTTCTCTGGCCACAAGCAGACCAAGGAAGAAGATGTGGTAGTCAGCTGGGGAGCTGTCATGAATGCCTCTAAATTATCTATTCATAGTTACGTCTCCAGGGAATGATTTTCTAGGAAAAGGCAGCATTGCTTTCTAAGAAAGAAACCGAGATCTTACGCAGGAGATAAAATACTGTGAAGAGCCTGACTGAGGCTGCTTCCTAGAGTGGCCACCTCAGAAAAAAGTGCTGATAAGGGGATCACCTCTGCTGCTTCTGAGAACTTGGCTCTGCACACGTGCTTGCCTGACTCCTGGCCAGCACCATCCTCTCACTACCAGACACCTTGCTAGTGTACTACTGCCTGGGGTTCTGAGACCTCGGAGTCGAGGTTCACACCCATCTCCTCTGTACTGGGTGTTCTAGGCTCTGCTCCCCCAGGCTTAAAAGAAACTTGGCCTGGCTTCCATTCAGGGTTTTGGCTACACTCTGCCCTGGTGCAGGTGGTCTGACAGCTGCCCACAGAGGTGCCAGTTGTCAAAGAATCCCAAGCTCCAATTTCCAACGGCAACAGGCTCTGGAAAGCCATGTATGGTAGTACATGGAAAGCCATGTATGGTTGTAGGTGTGTGTGAGGTGGTAGTCTCTATAGGTGACTAAGCATATATTGGAGGCAGTCTTTAACTGACCTAGAGACCCTTCCTTTCTCTATGGCCCAGGAGAGGCAGGATCACACTCACCCTCCTCGTCTTCTCCACATCACCACATGGCAGCCGCTTCACAAAATCAATACCAGTCAGTGGAGTGCCCGTTGGGGGCAGGAGGATA